TTTCTTTCTTTCTTTCTTTCTTTCTTTCTTTCTTTCTTTTTCTTTCTCTTTCTTTCTTTTTCTTTCTCTCAACCATTTGTGGAACGCCCATAGGAAAAATAAAAGCTTTTCTTTCTATTATAATGTCGTGTATCTTTGGTCAGTATTTTTCTTAAGAAAAATTTCCAACTCTTGTATTTGTATGGGATTTTTAGACCACATTGTAAAAAAACAAAAACAAACAAAAACAAAAACTATGTGCTATTGTGTCCGCATTTGAATAGTAAGAATATAATCATGATGAAGATTGCAGAAATTTAGCTTAGGAGATAATTGTTTTGCATATTACTTTGTATTCCTTATGTATTCACATTGCATTTTTTTCACCATCATAAAAATAAAAAGTAACTTTTATTTGTTTTTCAAGCTTGCTTTTATTTATTTATTTATTTATTTATTTATTTATTTATTTATATTAACATATAATGTATTATTTGTTCCAGGGGTACAGGTCTGTGATTCATCAGTCTTACACAATACACAGCGCTCACCCCAACACATACCCTCTCCAATAAATTCCAGTTAGTTAACATACAGTGCAACACTAGTTTCATGTATAGAATTTAGTGATTTTTCACCCACATACAACAACCATTTCTCATTACAATTTCCTTCCCTAATCATCATCACCTATTTAACCCATCTCCCCATCCACCTCCCCTCTGGTAACCATTATTTTGTTCTTTATGGTTAACAGTCTATTTCTTGGTTTGCCTCTTTCTTCCCCGCCCCCCCCATTCATTTGTATTATTTCTTAAATTCCACATATGAGGGAAATTAGATGGTATTTGTCTTTATCTGACTGACTTATTTTGCTTAGTATAATACTCTCTAGCTCCAGTCACCTCATTGAAGATGGCAAGATTTCATTCTTTTTGATGGATGAGTAATATTCCATTGCAAATATATATGTGCGTATATATATGCATATATATACACCACTTCTTTATCCATTCATCAGTCAGTAGACATATGGGCTCTTTCCATAATTTGGTTTTTGTTAATAATGCTGCTATAAACATCAGCTTGTAATATCAGTATTTTTATACCTTTTGGCTAAATACCCAGTAGTGTAACTGCTGGATTCAGTATTTTTATACCTTTTGACTAAATACCTAGTAGTGTAACTGCTGGATTGCAGGGTAGTTCTATTTTTAACTTTTTGAGGAGTCTTTATACTGTTTTCCAGAGTGGCCACACCAGTTTGCCTTCCCACCAACAGTGTAAGAGTGTTTCCTTCTCCACATCCTTGCGTAAAACTCTTTCCTGAATTGTTAATTTTAGCCATTAGTTGTGAGATGCTATCTCATTGTAGTTTTGATTTGTATTTCCCTGATAATGAGTTATGTTAAGCATCTTTTCGTGTGTCTGTTAGCCATCTATATGTCTTCTTTGGAAAAATGTCTATTCATGTCTTCTGCCCATTTCTTAACTGAGTTATTTGGTCTTTGGATGTTGAATTTGATAAGTTCTTTATAGATTTTGCATACTAACCCTTTATTAGATATGTCATTTGGAAATATCTTTTCCCATTCAGTAGATTGCCTCTTAGTTGTGTTGATTGTTTCCTTCACTATGCAGAATCTTTTTATTTTGATGAAGTCCCAATAGTTTATTTTTGCTTTTGTTTCCCTTGCCTCAGGAGACACATCTGGTAAGAAGTTGCTATGGCCAATGCCAAAGAGGTTACTGCCTGTGCTCTCTTCAAGGGTTTTTTGTGGTTTCAGGTCTCACATTTAGGTCTTTAGTCCATTTTGAGTTTATTTGTGTGTGTGGTGTAAGAAAGTGGTTCAGTTTCATTCTTTTGCATGTTGCTGTCCAGGTTTCCCAAAACCATTTGTTTAAAAGACTGTCTTTTTTCCATCGGATATGTTTTCCTACTTGGTCAAAGATCAGGTGATGGGTATTAAAGAGGGCACATTCTGCGTAGAGCACTGGGTGTTATGCACAAACAATGAATCATGGAACACTACATCAAAAACTAATGATGTAATGTATGGTGATTAACATAAAAAAAATTTTAAAAAAGAGGGTACGTACTGAATGGAGCACTGGGTGTTATATGCAAACAATCATGGAACACTACATCAAAAACTAATGATGTAATGTATAGCAATTAACATAATATAATAAAATACATACATACATACATACATACATGCCTAAAAAAAAAAAAAGATCAGTTGACCATATTGTTGTAAGTCCATTTCCAGGTTTTCTATTCTGTTCTATTGATTTATGTGTTTGTTTTTGGCCAGGATCATGCTGTCTTAGTCACTACAGCTTTGTAATATAGCTTGCAGTCCAGAATTGTGATGCCTCCAGCTTTGCTTTTCCTTTTCAGGATTGCTTTGTCTATTCAGGGTATTTTGTAGTTCCAAACAAATGTTAGGATTGTTTGTTCTAGCTCTGTGGAAAGTGAAAGTTTGACTCCTTCTTGACAACTTGAATGGCTTTTATTTCTTTGTGTCATCTGATTGCTGAGCCTAGGACTTCCAGTACTACGTTAAATAACAGTAGTGAAATGAACATCCTTGTTTTGTTCCTAACCTTAGGGGAAAAGCTTTGTTTTTCCCACTGAGGATGATATTAGCTGTGGGTTTTTCGTATATGGCCTTAAAAAGCAACTTTTAAAGAACAGACATAATCTAATGGGAAATCCTGATGAAGATATTTTAATAGCAATACCAAAATACAGACAGACTTAGTATGTAAAGACAAAGTCAAATATTCTATTACATAAAGGTAATTTGAGAATGCATTTTCTCAGTGCACATAAGATGGAAAATTCAAATTTATAGTCAGTCCGTATTTAAAAAGAAAGGTGTATAATGATTTCAAAAAGAAAGTGTTATTCCACAAAGACATATATCTTGACCTGACTTAGCAATATTTCTCTTTTTTTTAAGATTTTATTTATCTATTTGAGAGAGAGAGAGCATGAGCACAAGTAGGGGAGGGAGCAGTGGGAGAGGGAGAAGTAGATTCCCCGCTAAGCAGGGAGCCCAACATGGGGCTCAAACCCAGGGCCCTGGGATCATGACCTGAGCTGAGGCAGATGCTTAACCTACTGAGCCACTCAGTCATCCACCATATTTCTCTTGCTGGCTTAAACAGTCACTATTTCGCATCAACTTATTTAAGCAAACTTTACTCTACTTTGATCACAGCAAATGAGATAACCTCAAAACATAGTAACATATGAATAGTATAATTGAACAAATTATGACTCTAATTAAAAAATCACTAATTATTTAAACAAAACCCTAAGAATAGCCTTCAAAGTCCTTGGTATGTTTATCACTAGTTTCACCAAGCTGAAAGTTCAGTTTTCATTACAATTTAAACCATAATTAAAATTTCTCTGTTTTTGGATGTAATTTTGGAAATGGAGAATGAATAGAACAGAATTATTAAACAAATTGATTGCATTTCATTTATCTTCATTTTGAAAGGTTGATAGAAATAAAATGCAAATATTTTTAATGATTTTTTTCTCTTAACTTGATTGCTATTATTATTTTTTTTCATTAAGCTGTCATTACACTTCAGATTAAATCCTGCAATATGGAATCCTCTAGTTGAAATATGATCTGTGGAGAGCCAGGCAGAACCCTAGGGAACCAGCTCTGAAACTATACTTTAAACAGTAAGAAAGGGAAACTATTTTAAATTGTATAAGTATCTTAGCATTATATAAAACTAGTCAATAACAAGGCAATTGGTAGCAGAAGGCTCATAGAATCATGCCATCTAACTCAGTTCCCCCTTGGGTCAAACATTTATTAACATACTCAAGACAGTTCTTTTCTTCTGCACTCTTGAGCCTCACAACCCTATGAATTGAAATCTGATGTTTCTTGACATT